AAAGTGCCATATTGATTTCCAAAGTGGCTGTATTGTATGAGTGAGAATTGTTGAGATCAAGATTGGAAAATGCACAGGGACAAATAACCAAACTAGTGCAAACACATGAGCTATGAACCAATAGCTGAGGAGCCCCCAACTGGATCAGGCCCTCTGGATAAGTGAGACAGTTGATTAGCTTGAACTGTTTGGGAGGCACCCAGGCAGTGGGAGCAGGACCTGTCCTTAGTGCATGAGCTGGCTGTTTGGAACCTGGGGCCTATGCAGGGACACTTTGCTCAGCCTGGGAGGAGGGGACTGGACCTGCCTGGACTGGATCTACCAGGTTGAGCTGAATCCCCAGGGGAGTCTTTGCCCTGGAGGAGATGGGAATGGGGGGTATGCTGGGAGGAAGGTGGGGGGGGTGGGGGGAGGAGGACAGGGGAATCCATGGCTGATATGTAAAATTAAATTAAATTACAAAATAAAAAAGAATTTTTTCTCTTCAAAGCTTTTTTTTTTAAAAAAAAATTCAATATTAGATTGCATTCAATTTAAAGAAATCATTACACAAAGAAATGTTTTTTATAAGCCAGTAGTTGAGATCTATGTACCAAATAACATAGCACCTACATTAGTAAAACACAGTTGAGAAAAAGCTGAAAGAGTAATGTACAGAATGTATAGAAGGAGATATTTGTTCTTTCCATAATTAGTCAACTTGATAGGAAGTATCAACATAGGAGACCTTGATTTCAAAATAAGCAGGATGAGTCTAATTAGCAGATAGTAGATACTAAACTCTCAAAAGAAAGAAAAGGTCTTTTTTTTAATTGTTCAAGGAATATCAACAAAAATTAAAGACACCAGTGACATGACAATCTTAAAGATGTCTTAGCTCACATAACTGCTCCTGGCTTGACAGAGAAAGAGTCCCATAAAAACTCTTACTTACCCGACTGGACTATATTACAGCAAATGTCATCTAAATGTATAGCTTAGCTCACAGGGAAGCTAAGAAAAATCTGTCAAATTTGGAAAACTTGAAAAGCTAAAATTATGCAGCTCTGTGAACATAAGCACAGAGGATGGTGGGATGCTAGGGCCTAAGAGCAGAACTGTAGAGATGAGTCTCCATTTCCACCCAAGGCAGAAGGGTTTGCTAATCTACTTGGAACACATTCCTACGGTCAGGACACATGACAGTCTAGAAGTCTCTGAAAGAATGGACAACAAAATGCCCGTATGTGGAGGGAACTGACAGAAAACAATTAAGTTAAAGTTGTAAGAGAAAGATAACCCAAACAAGTCTATACTATGACTGCTAAAAACACAGTGCTCTTTTAAAAATGCCTCAAAAAAAAAATAAAAAAAATAAGAGGTCATGTATAAACTATAAGACATAAAATCAACAAAATTTGAACTGAATATTGATGGCATTGATGTATTTTATAACTTATGGGGATCGCTTGAGCTTCAAGAAATACTTTATAGGTTTATATACTTTAACTATTTAATAGAAAATATTGAAAAGTTAATGAACTACGTTTCTTATGTTAGAAGTAAGGTTATTTCCAAGTAATCATAAGATAAACTGAATGGAAAAAATGGAAAGACTTTTTAAAATAAGATGGGAAATGAAGGTACAATATAGTGAAACGGGGGACACTGGTCTTTTGAAAAGACATAGCTTCCAGTGAGACACATCCTCCAGTGGGACACAAGCACTAGGTCACATCCTCCAGTGGGACACAGCCTCCAGTGGGACATATCACAACTTTGAAAGAAGAGAAGGTTGAACCAGAGGAGAAGACAGATAAGATATATTATGATGTTAAGCACAATTTAAAGTTGTTAGTATGTGGGGAAACTCCTGGAAAAATACAAAGCATGAATTAAAACGCAACAGAGATGAAAACCAAACATTTAAAGAATCTCTATTATTACTGAATAACAATTAGAATTTTACCACCTTCCATAAAGAATACAATAGGCTCTGGTACCACTGCCTAGATGCCTCCCAAACAGATCAAGCCAATCAACTGTCTCACCTATTCAGAGGGCCTGATCCAGTTGGGGGCCCCTCAGCCTTTGGTTCATAGTTCATGTTTTTCCATTTGTTTGGCTATTTGTCCCTGTGCTTTATCCAACCTTGGTTTCAACAATTCTCGCAGGTCCTGGGCTCGCTGTATGAGATAGCTGTTTGTAACCTGGGACTTATACAGGGACGCTTGGCTCAATCTGGGAGGAGGGGACTGGACCTGCCTGGACTGAGTCTATCAGGTTGATCTCAGTCCTCGGGGGAGGCCTTGCTCTGGAGGTTGTGGGAAAGGGGGGGTGGGCTGGGGGGAAGGGGAGGGGGGCAGGAAGGGGGAGAACAAGGAAATCTGTGGCTGTTATGTAGAACTGAATAGTATTCTAAAAAAAAAAAAAGAATACAATAGGCCAACGAGGTTCTACAGGAGAATGCCACCAGGGGTCCTGGGGAATAAATACCCTGTGCTTCCATTAAGAGGTCTGAAGTCTGTACTTGGGCAAAAGCTCAAAGCCAGGAAGCCTGAGACGGTAACACCTTCTTCACTAATGCAATAAAAGCAATCTTCTCTGACTACTGGCCAGAAATGAATGCTGAGTGTCTCACCGTGTTGGGAGCACAGTGTCTAACATTCGCTGAAGACTGATGGGTAGGTCAGACACAAACAGTGAAAAACGCCAGCAGTGGTCCAAGCACTAGGCTCAACCAATGAGAATTCAAAGTATTTCGAAGACGACAAAAGAGAATTTCCTTATCTGTTACTGGTCGTGATTGGTTTCCTGTTTGTAATTCTTCTGTCTCATGCTTAGTTTTTATGACTCTGGCTGAGATCTGCAGGTCAAAGTTGAACGGCTGAATCCTGAGAAGAGAAATGGGTTTTTATGATCTTTAGAGAAAATGATCTGAATATTTAGTAAGTATATTTTCTGTTGAAGACTTGAAGAGTTGTTATCAGATTGTCTTTCTAATTCTGATTTAGAAAGCATTTGTAATGTGAAGGTATATTGAATTGAAACAATTTTTTTTTTTTTTTTTTTTTTTTTTTTTTTTTTTGAGACAGAGTTTCTCTGTGTAGCTTTGTGCCTTTCCTGGAACTCACTTGGTAGCCCAGGCTGGCCTCGAACTCACAGAGATCCGCCTGGCTCTGCCTCCCGAGTGCTGGGATTAAAGGTGTGCGCCACCACCACCCGGCTAAAACAAATTTTTATTTATTTATTTTTTTCAAAAGAGGGAAAAATGATTTTTTTCCAACTTTTCCCCCCAATGGTAAGTACATTCAATGGTAAGTGGTGTCGACATTCATATATTTAGTCATCACAAAATGAAAATTCCATTTGTTAATTTAGACTTACATTTTTTATTTTTAAGTTAACATACAAAATAATAGGTTTCACTATGGTATTTTCAGACATGTGAAGCTTTCATTGTTCAACATTAACTTTATCTTTTATGGATCATATTTTTGGTATCTCATATACCTCTTTTCCAACTCAAGGCCATGACGTTTTTTTCTTCAGCATTTTCTTCTAAGCATTCATAGTTTTTCACTTGATATTTAGCTCCATGATCTGTTTGGAGCTGGTTTTTGTATAAAAAACTCTGGGTTGAAGTTTCTCTTCTGGATGTGAATACCTAACCATTCTGGCAGTGCTGTGATAGGCCTGGTCCACCTTCTAGCCAAGCAGGGCCATGGGGTAGGCCTGGTCCACCTTCTATCCCAGCAGGCCCTTGGGAGGCCTGGTTCACCTTCTATCCCAGCAGGGCTTTGGGAAGGCTGGTCCACCTTCTATTCCCACAGTGTGGTGGGAGGGCTGTCACCTCACAGCAAAGTTTAGAGATCTCTTTTATGATGATATTTTATTTGTACTGAAATGTGATTTTAATTTTATGTTAATAAATAAAGTTGCCCTGGGGTCAGAGCTATTAGAGCCATAGCAAGAGTGTGATGGTTAGAAGAGCTAGGTAGATTTCTGTGTGTTCAGGGATACAGCCAGTATTGGAGACATACGCCTTTAAGACCTGGAGGGCGGTACTTACAGGCAGTGATGAGGCAGTCATGTGGTTGGGTTTACAACCAATGAGAAGGCAGAATAGAAAGACTATTTAAACACAGACAAACAGGAAGTAGCTCTCTCTCGGGGAAGCTAGGAGCATTGCAGGAGGTAAGATTTTATCTCTGAGCTCTGACCTCTAGGCTTTCTCTTTTACATTGGCTCTGTGTTTCTTATTTTAAAAAGACGATTGGTTACATCTACACTCTTTCCTTACCTGTTTCCTACTGGAGATTTGTATTTATCTTAACACCGATTCTACAAGTTGTCTTGGTATCTGGAAATCCATTTTACAAGTTTGGATTAGTACCCAACACTTCTATTGGCTTAAAAATAACATGACCATCTTCTCTTTTGGTGTCTTCTTAAGAAACCCCCATACGTAGCACTGATATAGGAAACACATTTGGACTGAAGCATGAATAATATGGTCCATACTGCTCCAGGCTCTTCCTCTCCAATTTCACTTAAACATATGTGTTGTAGTCACAATCGTATTTTAAAATATAGCTTTATTTGAGATTTCCTTCATTGAAACTAAATAATATAATTGTAACAAGGTGGTGAGAACAATGCAATAAATAACATTTGATTTTAAAATTAACCCAAAGGTTAAGTCAGCTCCATGGAAAATTCTCAAGTGACTTAATGAGACTAGCATAAAACGTTGCTAGTGCATAAATCAGCAATGCCTAATATAACTACTGCAGTGTCCTTGGGAGTAAGTAACATTCTTTAGAGATGTTCTCTATTCTTCTAAAGATTCACGAATTCCGTGCTTTTGTCCCAGGCTGGATCCTGATGACAGAATGATGGTGACAAAATCTTCCTAGAGTAAGCTCAGGGTCCACAAGAGAGGTGGACTTTAAGAAATGATTATAATGTAAGATTAGTTTAAGTGAATCAGAAACAACGGCAACACAGACACCTGCACGTGGAGCCTGGCAGTGGTGTGAACACACATGACACTGGAACGCAGCTGTACTTGCTGGGATTGGGGGGATTTGCGATGTGAAGATACAGACATGGGTGTGGGTAGAGAAGAAAGTGGGGCATGAAAAGAGAAGCACCTACCTTACACGGGAAGATAGACAGGTGCGTAAATTTTACTCAGCATTTTAAAACGATTTTAAATTTTATTTGAAACTGTAATGTGATGACATCAGTCCCCCTTCCTGTTCCTTTTTCTACCTCCTCTCATACATCCCTTTTCCCTCTCTCAAATTTATGGCCTTAAGGCACACGTTCGAAGCTTCATATAACTTTCCAATTTATCATTTACCTGGATCAGCAATAAGAATGGACAATGGTAAATTTCGACTAGAAAATGCTTTTAGAATTAAAAATGTGGAGTCAACCTTTGAGAAAGGGAAGGATTTCTGCCAGAGTCTGAGGAAGGAACTTCTCCACGTGTGATGACGGTTCTTTGATCATAAGGCCTGTCTTTTGGACTAACGCTCACATTGCCTCCTTCTTCAGAGATGATCAAGGGCTTCCTTTGTTAAATGTAATGTGCTGGTCCTGAAAGTGCCCTCGTGTGCAAGGGAGCTGTCAGTCATACACTTTGAAAATGAACGGCAGAAGGATTCTAAAGGGAAGTCAAGTCAAAGCCCCTTTGGGAATGTCACGGTCAAGCAGTACCTGTGAAAACCTGAGGTTCACTGACAACTCGAATTGCTCCAATTCCACGTTTTTGCTTCTAATCAAAGATACAGCTGTCGACTGAAGGGGAGGCCACCCTGGCTGCGGCTAATGTTAGTGTTTACATGACATGGTGGAGACAAACAGGGTGATTACAGACACCTACTCGAACTAGATCCTAACAGGCACAATGCTCTTTCATCCAGATGTTAATAGTCTTGACCTCCATTGGTTTTTAACCTCATAATGTCTGGCAGAATAAATGAACCCCAGGTTATATCATATGTAAGGGTCTTTTGGTTTTTCATTCATTTTCTTCCTCTCTCTCTCTCTCTCTCTCTCTCTCTCTCTGTGTAAAGTCTGTCTTTTCTCAGTTGGGCATATCACCGAGTTTACGCACAGAAAGCCTGCTGATTGACAGTGCTTCAACAAAGGCAGATTCAGTTTGTTGCTGATAAGAAGCAAAGTCATCCATGCCGTGTTTACAAAGTAGGCGAGGAGAGTGGAAAAATAGCGATAAAAGAGCTAATCTTAGTGTTTTACTGGATGAGAGAACAGCGCTTTTGTGCTTGCTCTAAGGTGAGCAGACATACGGCCCCCTCCCCCCTGTTCTTTGGCAGACAAACAATTTTCAGACTCCCCAAAGTGTCGCAGATTATGGAGGACACAGGAATGCTGGAGGGGTTTCTGACTGCTGAGTCCTACACTCTGCACTCGGCATGGCTGTTAGTCTATGTACTGTAACCCACACCACATCAGTCACTGTTCAAACTTTTTGATATTTCTAAAAGAGAACATATTGGGGATGGCAGAGTAATTCATTGGTGTTTAATTTCTCAAGATGCTTCAATGCTTAGTTGTGCTGAAAATAAAGTTGGAAATCCCTTTGTGAAAGTCCTGGCATTGGGGAAGGTTGGGGAAGGGAGCATTCTGGTGTGTGACTGCTGAAGTGTGAGTCATAGAGCAGTGAGAAATCCTAATGCTGCGGAGGTCTCCCTGCTAACAGAATTTCAAAAACTGACTTTTTGCATCAGAGGTTTTCTGGCTATAGCTTCACTAATGTTCCATTTTTCTGGAGAGATCACCAGTGAGGCTTCAGCAGAGGCACAGACCTGGTTTTTGTTTCCTTACTGCGACATGTGTTTAGTACAGATCAGAACAGACTCCCAGTGGTGACAGCCATGTGTCTATTTCAAGACTCATTCACTCGATCATTTGCCCACTGAATGCTGTGTTCTTTCAAATCTCACACTGAGTAGCTGGAGCTACTGAGGGAGCCCAACACTGATGAAACCTCAGGAGTTTCCCATCTTACGTGGAAGAAGGGAAAGCAGGAAAACAGACATAACATACAATACACATTTTTTTCCCACATGTGCTTACAG